TGGGAACTGAACCCAGGTCTTTTGGAAGACCAGCCAGTGTTCTTAATCACTAAGCCATCTCTCCAGCTCCCCCCACCTCCCAATGTCATTTTTAAAAACATGCTTAAATGGTGAATCGCAAAGAGATAGAGCAAACCACCCTTAGTTCACTGAAATAATAAAGCCCAGTTACACGTGTCTTAGTGGTGAACCACAGAATGTAATAGTTCTTTTTTTCAGTATTTTATTTATATCTTTAATTATGGGGTGGGGAGTTTGTGCACATGAGTGCAGGTGCCCTCAGAGGTCAGAAGAAGGTGCTGGATCCCCTTGGTGCTGGAGTTATTGACAGCTCTAAGCTGCCTGATATGGTGGCTAGAAACTGAATTTTGGTCCTTTGGAAGAGCAGCAAGTGCTCTTAACAGCTGAGCCATCTCTCCAGCCCAGAATGTAGTATTTCTTAGTTCATTTATATCTAGTTCCCTTTAACAAATACAAATGTAAATTTCATTTTGGTCTTGAAAAGATTGGGGAGATTTTTGTGGATTTGTTCTGGTAGAGAGGGGAAGGAGGGGATTGTACACGAGAGGTAAGTATGGTAAATGGTCCAACTAAATGATGGTATTGTGAATGACATTGTACTTGGTTTTCTTACTTAAAACCTTACTGAGTTATTAATAACTTTTAAAAAAGTAATTTGGCATAGCCTAGTTAATTATCTCTGTGATAAATCTACTTAAACCTGTTACGAGCCATTGCTTTAAAGGTACATATTTCAGAAGTAAGATGCCAGTTCTATTAAGTGCTGTTCCCATAAAATCTCAACTGCCTCTGTAGTGATGAGATGTCTAGCTCCAAACTAAGCAAAATTCCTTTCTGAGCTCTGTTCTATAGTCCACAAGTCCAGATTTTTATGTTTTGAAGACTCCAAATTCCTTGGAGAAATAAATGGTTGAGTTCAGGGTATGCGGTTCTTTTATCCCATCAGCCTTCTGATGCTTTTCTCTTTTCCCCTCAATGACCTGTGGTGTTGCTTGTCAGGAATGTGTAATGTGTACAGCAGCCTCTTGGTGGGACTCGTCCCTCTGAGGAACACATGGAGGTTGCCTTTTCCTTTATCAAAAACAGTCTTTTCTTACAACCTTAAGTCAGAGTACGATGCTTTGCACATTTTTATTATTATTTTTATGTCATTTGTTTTTAGCATGGAAGCAGAAATGCATTGTTATATCCAGTCATATGGATAATTTGAGCTAGCCACAGTATATAAAACTCCAGAGAACAAGACAGGATGAG